TTTTTTTCCGGAGACAGGGTCTTCCTATGTTGCCCAGGATGGTCTCAAACCCCTGAGCTCAAGTAATCTGCCCTTCTAGGGCTTCCAAAGTGTCCAACGTGCTGGGATTACAGGTGTGAGCCACCACACCCTGCCCAGAGTATTGTTTTTAAAGACAAATCAAGCAGGACGGTGGCCATGGAAGCTGGAATCCGCTAAGCAGTTAACAACTCACCTGCCGAAAAAATAAAAAGTAAATAAATAATAAATAAAGACAAATCAGATTATGTTATTAAAATTCTCCAATGACTTCCCAGTGCAGTCAAGATTAATTCAGGCCCTACTAACACCATCTGGCCTTGGCTATCTCTGCGATCTCACGTCTTTCATTCTCTTATTCCTCCTCTCCAGACACAGAAGGCTTTTGCTGCTCTTTCATTCTCTCTCCAGGTTCTTTGCCTTTGCTGTGCCCTCTGCGTGTCCCCTGAATATGTGTGTGTAACACCGCTCATTTCATTCAGGTTTCTGCTTAAATGATGTCTCTAAACACCCTCTGTAAAAGAGCACCCCATTTCCAACCCCGCTTTTCTACTTTCTAACCCTTCATCCTGCACTACTTTTCTTTTGGGAAAACTGCACAATTTAGTAGAAACGGGGTTTCACCTGGAAGCGACTCAGGGTTCGCACGGGGGACGCCGCTCTGTGGCCGCGGCAACCCGGTCCTGTGCAGAGCTTCAACCCCAGGTCGCCGTCCGAGGCAGTTCGCGGGGCGGCGGCTTAGCTTTTACCCTGGAAATGCCCATACCTTGAGAAAAAGAGAAACGAGCCGGTCGGGGCAGGCGGGAAACTAGCAGCGTTCAGGCATAGAGAGAAGTAAGTTCTGAGCAAATGCAGGTGCAAGCTGGTCAGGATGGCCGAGCGGTCTAAGGCGCTGCGTTCAGGTCGCAGTCTCCCCTGGAGGCGTGGGTTCGAATCCCACTCCTGACAGCTGGCGCTCTTTTTTTTTTTTTTTTTTTCGCTGACAAACCGCATGCTAGGCCACGTTTTCCCACCTGCTCTTTGTAGCATGACCTTTCTTATTTTTTAAAAAATAAATTTTCCGAGTTCTGGAATGAAAGCACTCTTTGTTTTCATTAGCCACTCCAACGACAGCAAAAAGTACTCTGTACTCAGAAAATAATTTCAGAACCTACTGGTGTTTTGAAATCTCATCTTGCTGTTTCTCCTCTGTCTCTAGTTCTTTCCTTCTCCCTCCTTCACACACAGGGTTAAATGAAGGTTATTCTTCAGCTCATTATTATTACTGCAGGGCTTCTCTTTATTTAGGTACAGAATTTCCAATTCCCTTTCCTCAGTCTCATTCCCCACCTCATCCTGACTCCCAATAAGAAATCACTGGAAAATGCACTCGTTTCTTCCTATATGCTTTTGTAGAACAGGTATGATTGGTTTAGGTGAATGTATTTTTAATTTACATAAATGACACTGTGTCATCGATCTCATTCTTATTCCATTAGCACCGCAGATTTGAGCTATGTTGCTGTGTGCACATTTAAACCAATTGTTTTAATTGCTGCATAGAGGTCTGCAATGTGAAGTCACCTACTCTCCCATGGTTCTCAGACTGGGTTCAATGCTTTTCCACTACAAATAAGGGCTCCATCAGTGAACATCTTCCTACACTTTCAGTTATGAGGCTGTGTAATATTTTCCTTGAGATACAGCAGGAACACATTGCAGGTCATGAGATCTGACAATCTACTAATTTTGCAGGACAGAACAGGACCTGGGACCCAGGGAGCATGATGTGGACACACTGAAGTTCATGTTTAACGTCATCTCCAGAATATTCCTCAGATTCCGGTTTCC